CGAGCACTCTCAATTTATTAATTGCTCGAGGGATTTCGATTTTATAGCTCCGATTCGTTCTGTTACGTTCTCGATCATTTGCTCTCTACGTGTACTCGGCACTATTTACCCGAGGCTTACACTCCGACCCGACCCTCCTCTCTAACTCGTTCTAGCAGCCTGAGCGGCCGTGCACTTACGTGACCGTTCGCTCTCGTTCGCTCTCGTTCGCTCTCGTTCGTGCGTTTCCAGGTTGCGTTTGCTGATATCTACGCGAGCCCAAAGATTGCGATACCTACGGTTGCGTTTATAGATTTTGCGCCTCCCCAAAAAAGCGACAGGCTACGTTAAGCTATCGTCTCTCCTGATAAGGTCCGTCAGAGCTCTCATTTTGACGGAGTTGAGACTGTTTCGCCTCAACTCCTCGGTTATACCAGCTCGTCAGTTCCTGGTAAAAAAAAAAATTGGCTGGCGTCCGCCTGGCGTGCGGATGCATGCGCGAAGGCTGGACTGGCTCGAATGTGACGTAGGTTACCTCTCGGATTTACATTATCGGTGTCGAGTCAAGGAAACACGTTACAACCTATTTCTTTCAGTGGGGTAAGCGATTTCCTCTAGAGCCGAGTTGATTTTTTTCATTAAAATGAGACAAATTTAGGGGACGAGCAGCGGCGCGGGGCATGAGGTTTCGACCTCTTAATTACGCCACAATTATAGCCTATTTTCCTGGAAGGCTTAGTTAGCAACGAAGATCCCCTCAAGTAGCAACTGGTTTGCGCCAGCGGCAACTTCCGGCAGCATTTCCATCGCCCTATAGCCCCATCGCTCTCAGCGCCAGAAAACTTTAATACCAATTGCCCAACGTTACGGCATTACGGCATTTCTTCCCTCGAGCATATAAATGCTTTACCCCCTTTTTCTTCTACTCGAGAAATGTATAGAAATTGCTTTGCCTTCCCCTTTTCTCTTGTTTTTTACCAAAATATAAAATTATGTTATAATTAAGGCTAATTTCGATGGTTAATTGCCATTGGTGTGCTTAAGAATTTGTCTATTCGGTTCTTTGATTTTTTAAATAAATGTAATTTGCGTCCTTGATCCTTGAATATTTTACTAAAAGTCTGGAGAAAATTAAAAATTCTATTCCACGAGGAATTCCGATAAAGCGAACTGTTAATAAATTAACAGGAAGAACGCTTGGTCCAGTTTATTCCCTTTTTTCTTGTTTTTTTTTTTTTTTGGGAATCTGGAAATATGCGGGACGGTCAAGTCTCCGGGTTGCGTACCCAAACAAATGAACGAACACAAAGAACGAAGTGCAGGAGGAGACGGAGGTTCAAGTGGGCGGAACTCGTAATTAGAAGATCCCAGAGAATGAGGGCAAAGTGCACGAGGTGGAAAAGGACTAATTTGTTAAGATTAAGCAAGGAATCCCCTAAAGCTCTCCTTTTTCTTCTCTTCCAGCAGCGTCACAAGTTGTTATCCTGAAGCGTCCATTTGAAGAGTAAGCCCTTCTCTCGCTTCTACGTTCGCTCATCCTCTTCTTAACTCCTGACCCTCGGTTTGCCCGAAGGCAGGCACAAAAAGGGATTCAGTCGCAGTTATTTCTCGAATAAGTATCATGGGCGACTCTTTGCCGATTCCGACGTCACCCTTGTCAGACTATTTCTCAAAATTGAAATCGAATATCAAAAAGAAAAAGGAGTCCGCAGAGAGTGAAAAATACGTATTAGCAATACACCATATCACTACCAATTTTGAACGTGAGGCCGACATAAACCTTTTCAAAAGTGAGTAAATCGAGCCGCCGACTAAGTAGATTTTCTTTGCCTAAAAATTGAACCTTCTGCCGCAGTAAACGCTAATAGTAATCCGTGACGTCAGAACTAGCCGCAACATGCGCGGCCGTGGCCAGTGGTGCTCAATCTTCGCAAGCCGTCTTTATTTGGTTAGGCGGCGTTTATACATACATAATATTACATATTTCTACCTTTCCCTATTATTGTTATAGTGGGTTCGCTTCGGGCGATCCTTTGATAACCTTATGTTAAAGTCAGTGGTACGAACTCATTGTTTCTTCCTCAGTCCTCCCTACATCTGTTCAGACCTACTGAAAATGAGTTGTCTATTGTTTATGCCCTGCTATTTAATCGTTAATCATGCAATAAATATGATCATTACCGATCGATAATCACCTTTCACAACCTTTCACACCGAGAGTCAATAAGTAAAAGGCGTAGACGTTGAATGCGTCATGAGTCATGAGTGATCGTTGAATTTGTTGCGTAAAGTAATAACGAGTTGCAAGAGAAGTTTCACAATGTTCCATCAAACTCTCGTCTGCGAAGCAGGATTATTAATGCGTTCCGCACCCCGAGGATTCGATTGAACCATGTTGCATTCAGCTCGGTTGAATTTCATCTCCATTCGCTTTTCCATTGACTTTCGACTGAACTGCTCACGGACCGACCCGGCCGACACGCGCCACTACGTACTTTGATGCTTAAGACCCGTTGACCGGCCATGCAGTCTGATCGCAAATTCATTGCTCCGTTACGTCTCTGGAAGCAAATTCATTTTTGTCCTGTTGAAGAAATATTTCATCACTCTCCCTTCCTCCCTCCGCACTTTCTACAAAGCAATAATTTATCACCGATTATCCTTACGCCTGACCAAATGCACTGTCGCTCCTCCTCCATCTCTACCTCGAGCGAATGTCCGGCGCCATAAAAATGATGAAAAACTCCTTTGGCGAGACCATCTTACACTCGCAGGCTGCCTACGTAAGCGCAGGACGCGTGAGAGCGAAGAACATTCGGTTTAATAGTTTCAATGGTTTTAATTGGTTGAATCTAGCAGTTGGGCCAATGGGACGAATAGGCACATCAGGGAGGGAACAATGTATCCGGGACAGCAGGACAGCGGGACAAGCGCTCGAAACCAATGAACCCAATGAACCCAATGAACCCAACGAACCCAACGAACCCAACGAACCCAACGAACTCGTGTGTGACCGTGACAGTCGTGTATTTATTAGAAACTCCCGCAATCCATCTTTACGTGAAGTTTCATTCGCTTTTCCCTCTTCTATCTCGCGTCATGCCGAGAATAGAGGTAGCCTCTGGCAGGGGTTCGGCACTATAATCGTGCAGGGGCGCACGGTCGGGAGAAGGGAGAGGGGCAAAACCTGATTGGAAAATCGATAGCAGGTAATGTGTGTACGAGGAAACCGGCGACTAGTGCCACCTCTGCGTTAACGTCCTCCTCGATTTGCCTCAGCCTTCGACCGATACTACTTCTGCTTCTGCTGTCGCTTATTAACGGCCTTCTCGTCCCTGCAGGTGTCCAGGATCAGCTGGAAGCTTGTAATACACAGACAGAAAGTGCAGAAAGTGCAGAAAGTGCAAGCCATGGGCAAGCGGAGAGAAATTTCCATTGAAAGGAAAAGTAAATTGGCCCTCTCGATTGCTTTTCATTACTTCTTAACCTCTCTGCATTCTTGTGCCTTTACCAGCACGAAGGTACTCCTTCCTTCCTCTTCGGCTGCTTTTGATACCGTTCTTCCGTCGCCTGCCGCTTTACTCGTTATAACTGCCATCGGAAATAATGAAGGGACGAAGACAAAAGCACAAAGCAATAATTGGGAGGATCGCGTAGAATTAGAGGAAAATCATTTCGAAATGATAATAAAATAACTAGGAAAGACGCATTGATCTCCTGCGTCCGAATGCTTCGTTTTCGACCAATAAGGACTGATAAGAACCCTATGGGTTGCACATGTGGATGGAAGGGGAAGGCTTGTCCGGGAAATTAAAGGAGGAACTTTGTTAAGGCATACCCAAACTCCTTTGAACTTCTCTCTCTCTCTCTCTCTCTCTCTCTCTCTCTCTCTCTCTCT